TATACGCATTACTGCATTAGTCTCTAAGACTGTCCTTCACTCTCAATCTTATACACATTTTTTAAACTCATTAATTCCTTAATCAGTGCTAATGGTTGTGACTAATCGTTTATTACAATTTTATTTATTTAAAGTAGCTAAAATCAATGACTTGATACCAGAAGAAAGAGTCCAACTAAGTGGAAATAATTTAGTTTGGGTAAAACATCAATTTATTAATACAACAAAAACTATATGTATATTTCTAATTTTCTATGGTGGTTAGACATTTAAATGTTCCCTACCAAGAAGAGAGTTGTAATCCATTGCTTTTTGTTAGTATATGCAGGAGGGCGATCACCAACCATTCACCAAAACAATATAAAATTTATAAAAAGGAAGAAAAATTCCAAATGTTTAATATAATAACAAAATTCCAAACTTTTTTCAAAGTGTACACAATCTTATTGTCAAACTATAGATGCACCGTCTTTTAAGTCCTTTTACTTAGTTTCTTCGTATATAAGCCTTTAAACACTTTGTGTTACATGATCAAATTCATTCAAAAATGAGTTTTTATCATGGAAATCACATATTCTATGCTTTCACTCTTTCTTTTCTTTCAATTTCAATCGTTCTTCTATCCATAGTTCTTATCTTTCTTTGTAGGAAAAAACAATTCAAGCCTAATAAAGAATTCGAGACGACGACTATCATCAAGCCAAGTGCAACGAATTATCCCTTATCGGAAATTGATAGCGCCACGGATCGGTTCAATACTAGTAGGATCATTGGAAAAGGGCGCCTAGGAACGACTTATGCCGCGGTTTTAGACAAGGATGAATTGGTGGTGGCTAAGAGAATCTACCCATGGTTAGTATTAAGTAAAGCCGGTCTTGGATTTCAATCCATGATCAAGTCACTATCATTAGCCCAACACCCTAATATAGTGCCTATAGTGGGCTTTTCCGAGGCCCCGGGGGAAAGGATCATATTAATGGAGTATGTGGACACAATGAGTTTGGACTTCTACTTGCACCAACATGTAGATGGACCGTCTCTCTTGGGGTGGATACAAAGGTTAAAGATCGCGGCAGGAATAGCTCGTGGGGTCGAGTATTTGCACGAGAAGATGGCACCCCAAGTAGTCCATGGTTGTATCAAGCCTTCAAATGTTTTGGTAGATGTGGAGTTTTGCCCAAAGTTGTGTGATTATGGGTTGTCTTTTTTAGCCTCAAAAAATGAGAAAATGGGGCTTTTAGGGTATGTTGATGAGGAGTATTGGTTAGAAGGGAAAAGTGGTGGTGCTTGCAAAGAAAGTGATGTGTATGGAATCGGTGTGGTATTGTTGGAACTCTTGACGGGTAAGAGAAATGAGGGTGGGTTGCTAGTTGGGTGGGTTTTTCCTTTAATTAAAGAAATGAGGTATAGTGAGTTTTTAGACCCAAGAATTGATATACCTTCTAATATGAAGCCTATTGTTAGATTAGGTAAAGTGGCATTAGCTTGTGTTGGTAATTCTAGAAAAACTAGGCCTAAAATTTCTCAAATTGTTAGTATTTTGGATAGCTTGGATGATTTTGATCTTAGAGATTGAAGTGTTTCAATGTTTTGGTTGATTTTGATCTTAGAGATTTAAGTGTTTCTATGTTTTGTAATTGTATTTGTATATGTACATTATTTTGTTTCTATGAAAAAGGTTTTTGGTGATGGATTCACTTTTCAACTTTGAAGTTTTTGCTTGTCATTGTAAAATAGATCTTCTTAGCAATGATTAACATTTAACAAACAATTGGTCAATGACCATAGATATAGCCCCGTGCCCCCACCCAAATGAATAAGAGAGAGCAGCTCTTTGAAGGCCCAATTTTTAAAAAACCTATATAATAACCCAAATAAACATCAAAGTGGATTGAACTTTAGTCCAATAATTAAGGAAAAATTCATGGGAATTATCCCATCTTTGCGCCGTTCATTTTTAATAATCCCACCTTTGGATTATTTTTTAATAATCCCACATTTACCCCCCCATTCTTTTTTAATGGTCTCGGATGACCAGTAACCGGTTGAAGAGGTAAATTTTTTTTTTTTAAGTTTATTTTACACGTGTCACCACGTAATTGGTCAAAAAAATAAGTTTTAATTTTAATTTTGTTTTAAGAAATGATAATTAGCAATTAACATTAAATACTTATTTTTAATAATTTTCTCATGATAAAAAAAAACTAAAAATTAAAACCACTACCAGCCACCTCCCTGCCCCACCGTCGTCCCAGCCCCCAGCATCGCTGCCTAGACCGTTGTCCCAGACCGGCTGTTAACCCCGCTCCGGTCGCCACCTTTATTCTGGCACCTTCCGTCGCCTTAAACCACCAAATTCATTTCCGAAATTAAGGATGGGAAGGAGAGGGGGCCGAAATCGAGGCCTGGGAAGGGCAAAGGGGCCGAAATTGGGGCGAGGGGAAGGGGAGGGGGCCGAAAAAGGGATAGGGGAAGGGGAGGGAGTCAAAAACGGGGCGGCGGAAGGGGAGGGAGGGAGGGAGGGATAGGGGGCGGTGAACGTATTTTAGAGGGTGGTTGGTGGTTCAAGGGGTGGGAAAGGGTGTTGGTGGTTCAATGGGAAGGGGGAGGGCAGTCGGCATGGCCCTCCGTCGTCGGTGGGCAGGCAGCAGGGAAGGATGGTGGTAGTGGGCAGCCGTGGAGGGTGGTTGGGCTGGTGGGATACTTCTTTTTTTTTTATGAAACAAGTAGTTTCTTAATTAATTAAGTATAATTTTTTAATTTTTTTTTTATATTTTAGGCCAATTAGATTGCGACACGTGGCATGTAACTTGCTATAGCAAGTTAAATGACCGGTTGGGAACATTAAAAAAGAATAGGGGGTAAAGGTGGGATTATTAAAAAATAATCCAAAGCTGAGATTATTAAAAACGAACGGCCCAAAGGTGGAATTACTCCCATGAATTTTTCCAATAATTAATCTCATCTAAACTTGTTAAACCAGGTTAAACTTTTACTTCATAGAGCTACATCGTCTTTTGTAAACGAATGATCACCTAAAAAAGTTAATCATATTTATATTGATATAAAATGTATAATTCATTATAGAGGTTGCACAATAATATATTGAGCAATATATGTGGTGTATTTTATCAACAAAAGGCTCTTGATTAATGCGAGATGTATATATGAATGTCAAGTAAAGTGAGGCATAAATGTTGGAAAAATCACCTTGAACCCAACCACCTACAATAGGTGGGTAAAAAAAAAAAAGACAAAAAAAAAACCCTTGAAATAATCCAAAATGATTAAATATTTGAGAGAAATAATTAAAATGATTTAATTAGTTCGGCTATTTGGTTCACATATGAGTTTGGGATAAAGGAGTTCAATTAGGTAAAAATAAATTGAATTGAACACACCATTACTCTTTGACAATCACTAGTTCTACATTTCTACCAACTTAACATTAAATGCTCCATTTATTTTTGGTACAATCATATACTCAAATTATTAATAAGATCGAAATCTCTCTAATCAAAGTCCATATCATCCCGCAAAAAATAAAAAGTCCATATTGAGTTATTTTGAATTTGAGCGGTGCTAAAATTATTTTTGTAGGATGCCCACCTGATTCGTTCACCGGAGCTTAGCTTAGCTTCGACTACACCCGGATCTGACTTGGGTCGCACACTTGACTTATGATGGGTGAGTTTCCCAATAAGAATTTCTGCATACGGTGAGACTCGAACCCAAGACCTCCTTAAGTGACATCAAGTTGTTTATCACTTGAGCCAACTTTTATCATAAAAAATTATTAAGATTATTACATACATAGTTTTTCATCAAAACACTTAGTAATTTTGTATGAGGTCAGATTGTTTCAGGTTATGTCAAACTTTGATACCTTTACATCCCCACATAAAACTAATTTTGGGATACATAAGTTATGTTTAGTAAAAAATCAAGTGAATTGAATGCACCATTACTCTTTAACAAAATAACAACCACTAGTTGTACCAACTTAACAATAAGGGCATGTTCTGTTCACCTTATTTTCACTTATTTTAGGTCTAACAAGTTCAGATAAGTTCAATTAAGTTAAGATAAGTTCAAATAAGTTTAGATAAGTTTGGTTCAGGAAAAATAAGTTCTGATAAGGGCTACCAAGTTCAAATTACAATTAAAATAAGTTTTTAATTGATAAGTTCAATTCACTTTAATTCAGATAAGGTTAGATAAGTTAAGTTAAGTTTAGATAAATTTAGATAAGTTCAAATAAGTGAAAATTAGGTGAATAGAACACATAAATGCTCCAATTATTTGAATCATTAATAAGGTTGAAATCTCTCTAATCAAAGTCCATATCCCATCCATTCAAAAAAAGTCTACCCCCTTGGTGTCTTGGTGCCAATCAATTCGAAGTTCAAATCAAGTTCTAATTAAGTTACGTTGAGTCATTTTGAATTTGAGTGCTACGGAGTACTAATTATAGTTTTCCACCGGTTTACTTAGTGTGAGGCAGGATTGTTGACACCTTTGTATAATTGTATTGTTGTATTGTGGATTGCTAAAAACCGTCCTAAAAAATATCACCGCCGCCAACGGCAACGACCACCACCACCACCACCACCACCACTGGTGACCCACCACATCCCCATCAATAACGACCTACCACCTTCCTTCGCTGGCGGGAAGGTGGTGGGAAATTTTTAATTTTTAATTTCCGACAACCACGGTAATCGATTTTGGGCTCCGGTTGGTGCAGTTGATGTAAATAAAAAAACCACCATCTTCCCGCGCGGCGAGGGAAGGTGGTGGGTCGTCGGTTAGGGTGGTGGTCGTTGTCGGTCAGGATGGTGGTGGTTGTCGCCGGTTAGGATGGTGGTGTTAAGGTGTTAGTGATTGGTGGCAGGAGAGAAGATAGTGATAAAATGCTAAGGGCATGATTATCCATTCACGCTAAATATTGGTGGTGTTGATCACTTTTAATGGCAGTATTTAAACCCCCATTGTATTTCCAAATAAATCATACATATACAAAGGAGTCAAAAAATGTTTCAAGAGCACATTGCTAAGTTGCTAACACAAATACACAAAGATCCAAACTTTATAACTAAAATCCTTATCATAAAATGAATCACCATTTATTATCCACATTAGTATAATGTCACTCATCTCGGCGGTTACACTTCACCTCACCAGCTGCCTGAATCTCCCGTCTTCAATCTCTCACCGCCCATCGCCGCCGCAACCTCCGCCCATCAACTCATACTTTTTCTCTCCTCACCATAACCTCTAAAACTTCAATCCAAAAATTCAAATTCCCAGAAAAAAATAATGATTCTCTCTCCTGCAAATCTCCCACAAACACCCCCATCTTCATCCACCCATTTTCTCTCTCCTCCCACCTTCAACAAACCCCCAAACTCCATCTCCTTCCCTTCAAAACAAACCCCACTTCAAATTCTCTCTCCTCCTCTTCAATGTCACAACCCCCATTATTCTCTCTCCTCCGACATCGATATGGTTCAGACTCGAGATGGGGTGTTCGCCCCAAAACAAACCAAAGTGGTTGTTTTGTGGGATTTGGATAACAAACCCCCTCGTGGGCCCCCCTACGACGCGGCCGTGTCGCTGAGAACGCTCGCCGCACGGTTCGGCGAGGTGGTCGACATCTCCGCTTACGCGAATCGGCACGCTTTCTCGCATCTTCCTGCACGGGTCATCGAGGAACGCCGTGCGCGGCGGCAGATGGATTTTCTTGAGCGTAAAGGTATGATCAGCCCATCTCAGCCTTATGTTTGTAGTGTATGTGGTAGAAAGTGTAAGACTAATTTAGATTTGAAGAAGCATTTTAGGCAATTACATGAGAGAGAAAGGCAGAAGAAATTGAGTAGGATGAAACAATTGAAGGGTAAGAAGAGGCAGAAGTTTAAGGAGAGGTATTTAGAGAAGAATTATAAGTTTGAGGAGGCTGCTAGGACTTTGATTACGCCTAAAGTTGGGTATGGTTTAGCTAAGGAGTTGCGGCGAGCTGGGGTGTTTGTGAAGACTGTGGAGGATAAGCCGCAGGCGGCGGATTGGGCATTGAAGAGGCAGATGATGCATTCTATGAGTAGAGGGGTGGATTGGATGTTCTTGGTTTCGGATGATTCGGATTTTCGAGATATGTTGCGGAAGGCAGGGGAGGCGAATTTGGGGACCGTTGTTGTGGGGGATAGGAATGGGGTGTTGGGAATGCAGGCTGATTTGTGGGTTCCGTGGGGCGGGGTGGAGAAGGGTGAGGTGAGCGAGAATGATTTGGTGCCTAGGAGGAAGGAAGTGGGTGATTGGGGTGATGGGTTGTTTTCAATTTCGGAATTTGATGAGGGTGTTGAAGGTGGGAGTGACTTGGATCAGATTGTGGATGAGCTTGTTCTTCCGGGTGGGAAGTCGAGTGCTGGGAGTGGGAGGTTTTCGGCTTTTTCTGAGGGCGAAGAAGATGATGAGGAGTGGATGGATGATGATGATTATGATACAGATGATGATGACGACGACGACTATACCTTTTAAGACGATTGTAGGAGGAAGGCAGATGATGAAATTCCACTTATTGCAGCTGCTGCGGCAGTTTTGGTGTGTGTATAGGCACGTAGGCAGGACCAAAAATTATGAAGGCATTGATGGTGGATTTTCTGATCTCATATGTACTTATTGAGATTGGATTATTTGTTTCGATTATGAAGAACTTTAAAATTTAACTCCCTTGGATTGATCACATAAGCTCCCAACTTCTACCATCAAAGGAGGTTTGATCAAGGCTTCAGGTTTTGAATCACAGAAAATGGCTTCAGCTTGTCTTTGTTGGCATCAATTTTATGTCTTTTCCGGCAAAAGACTTGTATAGAGAGCAATTCTGTAGGATACATGGGAAAATGTTCCCTTTATTTATGTGCATTATGTATATGACAAATTGTTTTGGGTCTTATTTGCTCTGATCCATATTCATTTCAATTCCATATATATAAGTTATGCAAATATTGCTTAGATTTCCTTTCACTGGTGTGCATATAGAATTCCAATTGCCTACTGCAACTTGTGTTTTGATTTCAGTTGCAAGGTAAAATTGAACCGAACATACTCTGCATTCAGAATTTCATGATTGTTCCTCAAATGTTGTTAACCTTGTTGTCATTGATGTGGTGAAATTTAGAATGAAGGAGAAGAGGTGTTATGTTCTATTCTTGTGTAGCTTTGATGATACACAGCAAACTCTATAACCTCCGGTAGCTTGGTGTTTTGGTTTAGGATCTTTTCACATAGCAGTTATCGGCATAAGGTCTGCAAGGATAGTGTTGGGTAAAAATGAGTTGCTTTCATTTATAACCCCAACCCAAATATGTAGCCTTTTCTAGATTATCAGCCTCTTGCTTCCGGTCTGGTTTCAGTTCTTAACTCTTCTCTGGCTCCAACAGGCCTGCAATAATGTCTCTTGCTTTTCACTGGGACCTTAAACTGTTTTTATTTCAAAAGCCTTACCCTATATGTACCTCGGACTCCTTGGTGCCTTTATCTCAGTTACTGCTGAAAGCCTGAGGTTGCCCAGGACATGAAGGAACTCCCTGCTATTTTCAGTTTCAGCAGTTTGTGTATTGTTGGGTTTTTATTTCCTTGCTATCTTGGCATTATTCTGATGCTCAGTTGCACATTGCCTGTGAATCGTCTCAGTATGTGTTCGTGCTCTGAGAACCTAATACTTCATATGTATATGTTTCTGGTTGCACTTTGCTATCGTAGATGATTTCGAAACAGGATTTGCAAATTTGGTTTTGACAACCTTTGGTTGCTCATAAGAATGATAAACTGTGCCACACAGAAATTACTAACAGAGAAACAGGACCTTGAAACTCCTTGCAAGTTATAGCTGCAAAACAAACAGGGGCTTATCTTATGTTGTGTTCCTTGTGTAATCATAGCTGGGCTTTATCCGTAAATCATACTGAAAGAAAAGGTATGTCCTCTGTAAAGTAGTATAAACCTCCAAATAATTTGAAAGCCTTGCGAAAGCGCAATATCATTCTCCTTGAATTTATGCTGCTTATGACTTATTCACAAGCAAAGACACAAAGATCAAGTTTACTTGTGTGCAGTTCTTCCTGCAGATAATTGTTTATGGCAGTCTATTGGCAGACATTTGGAATTATCAAGATCTTGAAGAATTTTAACAGCATCTCAAAACTATAGAGACCACTAATAACTTCATACTGTGTTATACAAGGTGAAGGTGGATCAAATGGTCGGTTATGCTCATTTTTGTGTTGGGAGATTCCTGTAAGCCGTCTTTCATTTCGGAAGGAGAGGGTAAATCAAATGTAAGGTCTCTCATTTTGAAAGTTGAGCGTTTTCATGTGTACAAGGATGTTTAACTCTTAGGGTGACTTTTTTTTAATTAATAGTCTAATTTTGTTACAACTCTGTTTATAATCTGCATTCTTTGTAAGATCCTCTGGCTTGAAATTACCCTTTTCATTAGTTAAGAATATAGGATCCTGTGAAAAAAAGATAACTCTTTCTTTATAAAATAAAATAGTACTAGTATATAAGATAACAACTCAACTGATTAGATTTAAAATTATAATTTCTCAACATTATCTTTATCATACTTGTAGTTTTTAGATTAGATTTGAAGTTATTTTATTTTATTTTATTTTTTTGTGACAGGATCTTATATTCTTAACTAATGAAAAGGGTAATTTCAAGCCATCTCTATCTGGTCGTTTATTCTTTCAAGGGGCTTGGTACTGGATTCACAAGACTCATCTTGTCTCCTTTGATTTTGATTCTGAGGACTTTAGCTTTGTGGAGTTGCCGGATGTCACGACGCAAGGAAAAGACTATGTCTATTGGTTAATTTTTGTTCTTGGCGAGTCGGTAGCTGTTTTCAGTTTGTCTTCTATATGCTTTTGCATATGGGTTATGGATAAAGGATAATAGAAAGGAGCCGTTGTGGAGGCCATGGCTTTCAAGAGATTCAAATCGTAGGGAATTGTCTACACTTGAGTCTTGGACATATTGTTGTCCAAGGGTCTTCTATAATCAGGACAGTGATAAATTTATCATACACAACTGCCTTAAGTTGTTTTCTTACAAATTTTCTACTCATCAAATAAAAACTTTGAGACGCTTAGCTTGTGATAATATAACTTTAGATAGTTAGGAAGAGAGCTTGGTGTTGCACAAAGGAACTGAAGGTCATACTTTGACATCCTTCCATGATCAACGAAACAAATTTGTAGGCCGTGGCCAATACTGGAAGATCACGGGTACAATATATGCATGTCAGTTTTGCCACTTTCATATACATGTAAGTTATGATTTGTAGCATATGCTTTATATATGCCATCTAAGTTTGTTTGATTTCTACAATATGCCATCACTTTATATAACCAATCTTAAGCCTTCTTTATATAGCCGCAAGCTGTTCTGGTGGAGTGTATTTGAATTCATAACATATGGCAGTTAGTACAATTTATATGCTCATAATATAGGAGAATATAATAACGTTTAGGATGCAATCGGAGATGTATCAAGCACAAAACAAACGAAAAGAAAATCAGATCACAAAGTGGTGTTTAACCTGTCCATCTTGTGATGCACTTTCAATTCTATCCTGCATTTGTCATATTGGTCTTCTTGTGGTAGTTCGAGGCCTGTAGTTGTACAATTGTAACATCTTAAGCCTTTTAAACTCTTTAACTTGCTTATTACAGGCTAGCTTTTTCCCGGAGGTATTAAATTACTGATAATTATAGGAAAATATAGTACAGTATATAATTGGATTAATGGTTCTGAATCATGCAGTATAAAATTTTACTTACTGTGTTGCAAGATTTTTAAATGTACAAGTTTTTCAGAATAGACTAACGAGTATAATATCTCCTTCGCAGCCTTGCAGGGAGCTTCTAAGCATTTCATGAGGAATCAAGCTAGTTAAATTCACAAACATTGATTTCATAAGAACTTTTTTTTAGTGCTGTAGCTTATCCTCCCCTCTGAGATACGGATTTTACTGAGCTGCTACTGCACATACTGCTAGAGTGCTAGTCTTTTGTGAACGATTCAACTTCTTGATACATCTATTATCAAATTCATATAATAGACTCTATTTTTTAGTGTTAAATGTTTTGCAGAGTTTTACCAGATACTTGTTGATCGATCATCTCTAGTTAGTCACTCTTGCTTTATATTTTCTAAGATCAGCTACTGCAAGACGATACAAACAGGTTACTAACCCTGTAACTGTGGTGGCTATAACAAAGTCGTGAATGATTTTCATAAACCTATTGATAGTAGAATGCTTCATATTTGTCAATTGCATTCATGTTATCCGTAAACAGCTCCTATAGAAGTGCCTCTTCGAGGGTGTAACGTGCAATGAAATTAAAGGGCGTCTAGTTTCAAGTTTGTGTTTCTGTAGAACAGGGGAAGGCAGGAAATAAAAAGCAAAGCAAAGATAAGTTTAAAGATAATTTTGTTTTTGTAACTTCAATAGTTCAATGATCCACACCCTGAATCTCTCGTCTCTAGTTACATAACTTCAATAATAAGCTAGCACATTGACCAATAGTGATTGACATGTACTTTGTATGTACGTAGTATATGTTTCTGGTTGCACTTTGCTGTCGTAGATGATTTCGAAACAGTTTATGCAAGTTTGGTTTTGAGAACCTTTGGTTGGTCATAAGAATGATAAACTGTGCCACACAGAAATAACTAATTGGAAACAGGACCTTGAAACTCCTTGCAAGTTAGAGATGCAAAACAAACAGGGGCTTATCTTTATGTTGTGTTCCTTGTGTAATCATCACCGCGCATTATCCGTAAATCAATCGTACTGAATGAAAAGGTATGTCTTCTGTAAAGTAGTATAGACCTCCAAATAATTTGAAAGCCTTGCTAAAGTGCAATATCATTCTCCTTGTAAGTTTATGCTGCTTATTACTTATTCACAAGTGAAGACACAAAGAACAAGTTAGAGCTGCAAAACAAACAGGGGCTTATAACTTGATTGTTTATGGCAGTCTATTGGCAGAAATTTGGACTTAACAGGATATTGAAGGATTTTAACAGCGGCTCAAGACTATAGAGACCACTAATAACTTCATACTGTGTTATACAAGGCGAAGGTGGATCAAATGGCCGGTTACTCTCTTTTTTGTGTTGGGAGATTCCTGTAAGCCGTCTTTCATTTAGGAAGGAGAAGGTAACTCATTTTGAAAGTTGAGCTTTTTCATGTCTACAAGGATGTTTAACTCTTATGGTAATTTTTTTTTTTAGTTTTGAATTAGTAGTCTAGTTTTGTTAAAACTATATTTATAATCTGCATTCTTTGTTAGATCTCCTCGCTTGAAATTTCAAAAAAAAAAAAAATAATAATTTCAACTCTTCCTCAAAAAGATAAAATAATAAAATTATACTAGTATAAGATATAATTTCTCAACATTTATAGTTTAGATTAGATTTGAGACTTTTTTTTTTTTTTTTTGGAAAGATTAGATTAGATTAGCATTGGAAAAAAAAAAAGATTAAATTAGTATCCTAACCCTTGCCTAGCAGTTTATGTAAATTATATATAGGTCTGTTAGACGTGTGAAAATTTTGGTAGGTTTAGGAGTCTTCCAAGTTATGTAATGTGTATTACAATTATATAATTTTAATTTAGAAGGCTAAGCTGTTTACTCTGCTTTCGAGCAAGAAGATGAGAATGTCAAGAAATTCACATACCAATAGATATTTACTGAGGGACATATTGGCAAGGCTACCAGTGAAAGCTCTACTAAGATTTAGGTGTGTTTGTAAACTCTGGTGTTCTCTAATCGATTCCCAAGATTTCCACCTCAACACAAACAATCGTATAAACACTGATGTACTGGTTATGAAAAGCGTTAAAGACCGCCATCAATTTATATTTACTGTTCGAAGCACTGATACTTTTCAGATAACTGATCATCTTTGTACCATTTACGAGTCATATAAACTTCTTGGACCTGTAATGGGTTGATGTCTAAGAAACTATCTGGCAACAAAGTTATGTTGAGATTGTGGAACCCTTCGATTCAAAAGTCCTTCATACTTCCGTCGTGTCCTTTGAGTTCTA